CTGCTTCCAAAGGTGCATCTCCAACACACACTTGATGGGAGAATTCCCACTGGGCTCCACCTGCTCTGGCTCCAGTGTTAGCACCTAGCCTTAATCCACCCTTCGTGACTCTGTTACGTATTGTTTCTCTTGTTGCCCTCTGTGAATCTTGACTAAGAGTCTCCCAAGGGTACAAAGCCTATGCAGACTTGGTTGGGAACCGGAAAACTGATATTCATTAGTTGAGAATTTTCATTTAGCATTGTCCCTTTGGAGGCTTAGTTAGGGGGGATATGGAAATCAACTTGATAAAAGTGTAAATTGTCTCGGAAAACCAAAAAAAAAAAAGTGTAAATTGGACAACAATAAAAATGCTCTTGGCTAAGGGAGGGTGTCTCAGTCTGCAAGAGGCTGAGTCCCCCTGCAGCTGGAAAGGCTAAGACATCCTTAAAATACGCTGTGTCTTCTTCCCACAGACCTGTGTGAACCCACACCCGTTCAACAACACACACTGATACATGTAACACAGTTTTCATTTTAAAAATTGGAGGGATGGAGAAATGTCTCTGGCTCTTGAGGTGAGCACTCAGGTTCATTTCCCAGTATCCACATGGCAGCTCCCAAAGCTCATTTTTGAGGTTCCAGGAGATAAGACACAAACTTACGTATGCTGACAAACATTCACATAAAATAGTCTTGGGATTTAGGACATAGGTAGGACTAGGTCCCATTGGCACAAGCCACTTGGAAAGCTGGGTGGGAGAATCCCATAGTTCAAGGCCAGCTTGGGTGATTTAGCGAGGTCCTGTCTACACTCCAGTGTTTCCATCCTTAGCTGTCTTCCTTGGTTCTGACATTAGCTGTCCCTTCACAAAAGCAAAAGTCAGATCTTGCTTCTACAACTCTGGTCTTGGTTAAGTGCTGGGCCACCAAGGCAAGTTCCCAATCCTAATTCCACCTACACCCTAGGCAAATGCTAAATTAAACAGTCGTGATTCACAGTGAACAAATGCACATATTCTCATTACAAACAAACCGCGAGCATTTTGCAGACAAAGGTCCCACACCATACCCGCTGACCTGCCTTCAGAGTGAGGTTACTGGGCTAGGGAGCGTGTGGCCTTTCACTTTTTCCGCACTTGATTCTAAAACAGCTGTTCCAGACCAGCAGCACAGCATCGACCCACAACTAGAAATGCCACTTCCTGTGCTCAACCAAATGCGGCACCTAGAGCCTGGGGCTGGGCACCAGGCAAGACTTCGGGGATGCTGGTGTTCCCCTACTGTTGTGGACCGTTGGCCTAGCTCCCCAGCGCCTGAAAAGGTAGCCTTGCCTCTGTGTGCCAGCCCTATATATTTGGCCTTTTCCTCATTCTAGCTTCGCCTCCCCAAGCAATCTATCCCACTTCACACTAAAGGAGACACACCCTATCCCCAGCTCTCCTCGTCATCTTTGCGTTCAAGAGCTGTCCACAGATGCTTTCCCCAATGGCCAACCCGCTGTCCAGAGAAGTTGCTCTGAGCAGCGGCTGATAGGACCAACGGGGAAGAAGGCAGGGTGGCCGCCACCGGCAGAGGGGGCTCTCAAGGTTCCAGGGCTTCATCGCCAGATTCTTCAGCCTCATCTATACGGCTGGCAGCCTCCTCACCACCCAACTCGGTCCGGAAGCGGAGCAGATGCGGGGTCCTGGGGGCGCCGCGTGCTCGCCCTAAGTTCCGTAGGCTTATAGCAGGCGAGAGCGCTCCTGAGCCCAGGAAGCGGCCCAGCAGCGGGGTCTGGGTGGCGGTTGCTGGCAGGTCGGACCTTGGGGACGCCTCCACCTGCAGGCACTGCTCAGGGTCATCACTCATGCTGCCGGTGCCAGGGCGGACATAGACAAGGATTGACTCTCAGAGGACTTGTTTGTATCCCCATAGGGTGGCCAGGGACTGGGCACCGGTTTCCGTGTCAAATCTCGACTTACCGCAGGTTGAAAGTGGAACCCAAGAAGGAAGGACGCAGTGACTCGGCGGCTGTGGCCACCGTATAGGGTGGTTGAGGTTGGGCCTCATCCCAGTACTGATCCTTCTCAGCAGGAGGCAGGTTCTGGTACATATCATCCACCGAGAGCAGGGACACCTGAGCCAGAAGCAGGGCAAGCAGCAGGTCACAACTGTTTCTCTGCACACCTGGCTATCTCTGCCCCTTCCCCCACACCTAACCTGCAGGTTTCGATCTATGAGCTGATTGGTCTCAAAGTCGTCATCATCTTCACCGAAGGGGTTAATGAGCTGTTCAGCTACCTATGAATTGCAGAAATGGTGTCTTCTAGGTGCAGAGCCCCCCGCCCTGCCCAGCACTGCAGTGTGATAGTGACTATCTGTGCCCACCTCTACAGAGTAGGATGCCATACCGACCTTGAGCCAGCCAGCGTAAAAGAAAAACTGCAGCAACGTGGTCAGAGGCACAAACATGTCCAGGTCCCCCAGGGCTGAAGAGACCTCTTTGTCTGGCTCCAGAGGCTCCTGAGGTTGGGCAGCCCCTGTTTCCGGCTCCACAAACTGTCGGCCGACCAGGGAAAGGGCGAAGAAGGAGTATACGGCTATCGTCACCACCTAAAGAGGGAAAAGCCAGGGGCAGCAAGAAACCCTATCCCTGTATGTGGGGGCCTGGGGGGGTCTGGCAAGTCATCAAGCGGGGACTGGGTGCCAGTTGCAATGGAGACAGCTTCATCTTTTTGTCTTGCTATGTAGCCCAGGCTGTCCTCGAACTCACAGAGATCCTTCTGCCTCTGCTTCCCGAGTGCTGGGATTAAAGATGTGTGCTACCACTCCTGGCAGGACAGGATCGTCTTTTTTGTTTTTGTTTTTCAAGACAGTTTCTCTGTAGCCCTGGCTGACCTGGAGCCCCGCTCTGTAGACCAGGCTGGCCTCCAACTCGGGGAGTTGCCTGCTTCTACCTCTGCCTCGTGAGTGCTGGGATTAAAGGCGTGGGCCACCACTGCCTGGATCAAGACAGTTCTCTTTACAGGTGTGGAGGAAGATTTTTGAGGATGAGGGACAAGGGTATTACCCATGGGAGTAGAGTAAGGTTTCTGAGGATGACCCTCACAGTTCAGTGTCTCCTGAGAACGACTTGGCCCGGGTGAAGAGCCATCAAGGCCCCTCGGTAACTCACACACCACAGGATGTCCACTGGGCACCTGAGCTGGGCAGGCAGGAAACAGTTACCTGGGTGTAGACAAGGGGGATGCTGATCCAGTCATAGTGAAACAGCATGCTGCACTTGGCACGGTACTTGTTCAGCTCCTAGAGAGAGCGGGTGACGGGAGGTCAGAGGAGACAAATAAGGCAGATGAGGAGGAGGGCAGGAGACTCCACAAAGGTGACCCGGGCCGGCCCGAGCCCCACTGCTGTCAGGCTATCAGGCTGGGGTGCTTCCGGTAGGAAGCAATGTAGGAAGGTAGCAAACAACATTCTGGGCCTGGAGCCAGAGCGCCTATGAATCCCAGCTTCACTAACATGCCGTGTGAGAGGCTTTTCAACTCTGTGCCTCAGTTTCTTCATCTGTGAAAGGGGGATGAGAATAGCCCTCAGGCACTAAGGGAGTCAACCTAAGCACGTGCTTCCAAAGTGCTCCGTAGCTGGGCCTAGTGGTTCACGCCTGTAATCCCAAAGTTTGTGAGACAATGGCAGGATTGCCATGGATTTGAGGCCAGCCTGGGCTAAACAGTGAGTTCCAGGCAAGCTTGAGCTATGGAGAGTAATCTTGTATCCCCCTCCCCCCCAAAAAAAGTGTGTGGTATATAGTTGGAGCCTTTTAAGGGTCAAGTACCAAAGTTATTATTTTGAAGCTAGTGCTAGGAGAACCAATGATCCAAATCCTAAACGGACTTACTTCCAGTATGAGACCGAGAGCGATGTCGTCACGGATTCGTCCATCCCTGCGGGCCTGGGCGGCGAGGTTAGTGAACCAGACGCAAGGGACCCAGTACTTGTTAAAATCAGATTTCAAGCTCTCAAACTTTCTCCTCTCTTCCTGAGACATGAAACCTGCCCCGGGGGGGAAGAAGGTAAGGTGCAGACATCTCATGCCGCCAGGGGCGCTAGTGGTCCAGCAGCTGGCTGGTCTCCCTTAAACCCACTGGCTTCCCTGGAATCCTGGAGCGCCCCCTAAGGGTCAGACCTTTCCATCACGGGAAGAAAGCCAAGACGACATCCAGCCTCCCACCCAGGGGCTGCGGCTACCCAGGCACCTGCATCCACCACGTGCTCCATAGTGGGGAAGCGCTTGAGCACACGGGTGCTGACAGATCGCAGCACCAGCACCGACGCCAGGTTGGCATAGCGGATGAGAGTTCGGCGTAGTAAACGGCCGCTCTGGTCCACGCCATGCACACAGGCCGAGATGACACACATTAACTGGTCCGGCAGCGGAATGCTCGTGTACTGAGACCACCATCGGTTCACCACCAAAGTCACGTAGAAACCTAGTGAGCCACCATGGATAGCAGAGGCAGAAAGAAAGGTGCCAGGCGCTAGGGAGGTCCTCCATTGGACTCTATGGCCCTTCCGGTCCCACGGCCTTGCTGAGAAAGTCAGGCCCGGAAGAAGAAGAGGATGCAAACTGCCGGGGAAGAGGGAAGTGGGAGTCCGAGGTGGGGTTACTGTTGACTCTGAGACCTTTCTTCCATGGCGGGGAGGGAGGGGCTATCCCTTCTCTCTGGCTCCCATTTGGTAACCAGAGTGGGGTTATAAGGCCAAGGGGTGTGTCTTTGTGCCAGTGAAGACTGAGGGTCCCCCAAATGACGCGCAAGGAGTAACCCAGAGGAAACTGTGGACCCAGGCTCTAACCCTTCTCTTTGCTGGTTGACCCCAGGCCATTGCTGCCAAGAATTGTCACCTCAACCCAAAAGTCAGGACAAGGGGCGGGGGTGGGAGGGTGAGGGTGGGCTCACCCAGCACGAAGGACAGAGGGATGAGGTCTGCTGAACGGTTGCAGTATCGGGCCACCTGGGCATAAATTTGCTTCTGCTCCTGGGTCAGCCACAGCCTAGGGCATGTCAGGCAGAGAGACCTGGGTTGGTAGGAGGCCGGCGGCCCAGGTCCTCTTAGGCCAGGGCTCAGAGCTGCGCTCACCGGTAGGTGACGCTGAGCACAGCATACAAGGCCCCGAACAGCAGAAACTCCTTGTACAGGAGCTTGTAGATGCTGCCCCTCCAGCGGAGGAGCAGGCCAGAGAAGGCTCCGAAGCGGGCCTCTGCCACTTTGAGAGTGTAAGACACCGTCATGGTGCTGGGTCCTGGCGCAGAAGGTCGCAGAACTGTCCTCTTCTCTGCTGGTCTTCCCGTCGCTAAGCCTAGCACCCCAAGCAAAGTCCCTTCATCTCTGGCTACTCATGTTCACCGCATCTGTAGACGAGGGGCTGAAGCCCTGTAGGAGAGACAAGTACAAACCGTCCTCTGCAGAACATGGTTGAAGCCGGGATGGAGTCGGGCCAAGTGGGGCTGAGCTCTGTGCCCCTCACACGGAGGTTTCCCACAACCTTTCTACCTTCCGAGCTGAGATAACTAGATTCTGAAGTGTTGAGGACAAGAGCCCCAATTTGCTAGGTATGATGGCATATATATCCAATCCCAGCTCTCAGGAAGTCACCAGTTCAAGGCCAGCCCATGCTATATAGCAAGACCTTGTCTCAAAACAAAGAAAGAGGCTGGAGAGACGGCTCAGTGGTTGGGAGCACTGGCTGCTCTTCCAGGTACTCGGGTTCAATTCTCAGCACCCACATGGCAGCTAAGAACTGTCTGTAACTTCAAGATCTGATCTCTTCACACAGATATACATGCAGGCAAAACACCAGAATTAGATAGATAGATAGATAGATAGATAGATAGATAGATAGATAGATAGATAGATAGATAGAGGCAAAACACCAGAATTAGATAGATAGATAGATAGATAGATAGATAGATAGATAGATAGATAGATAAGTAAATAAAGCCAGACCGAACCCCAAACCAGAGCCACTACTTTTCCTTGGTGCTTCCCTTTGAAACCTGTTCACCTTGTGTCCCAAGCCCCAGGGCCCTCAGCCTCCACTCATACCTGTTCTCAGCAGCAGCCTGGGGGAACTGGACCAGACTTTGTTCTTCACAGTCTTAAGTAGATGCTGGGTCCATAAAGTTAGGTGGGACTGCTGCTGTCATTGATGGATGGAGGCTATCTATCTGTCGTCACCTGGCTGCTCCTGAGAACCAGGTGTGTGCTACTAGCCCCATGGGGCTGGACTGGCCTTTGAGTAGCAAAAGTGCCATGTTTCCTGACCCCACAACTCACGCAGGTGACCCCAATGTCCTTTAAATTGGGGAACACAGGGCTTACTTCCCTGTGCTCCAGTGAGATGACAGTTCAGGGGGAACTGTGGTCATAATACCAGCTGCTGATTGCAGAGCACTGACTGACTTGAGGGACAGACAGACAGACAGACACTGTCAAGGACACCATTTTATCTTCCTCTAATGGAATCTTTACCACATCTCCATCATGTAGGAATCCATCCCAGTTTCATAGATTAGGTTCCAGGAAGCACATGACTTGCTCAAGGTCACACAACCAGGTCCTGTTGGAGGCAGGACTCAAAGCCACAGCTTCTAGGCTTGAAAGGCTGGAAGTTGTCTGATCGAGCCAAGAGCAGGACTTGAGTACTGAGATCAGGGTCCTTGACATCAGTGGCCTCAACAAAGGGCCAGGCCCTGTCCCAGGCTCTGATAGGCACTTCCCACATCCATGCCATGGGGTTAAAGAGGACATGAGTCCAGGAACTCAGCACGATGCACAGCCCCTTAAGTTCTGTGTCCAGCGTCTTGACTCCTAGGTGCTCTTAGCAACTCTCTCTCTCTTTTGGTTCTTCAAGACAGGGTTTCTCTGTATACTCTGTAACTCATCCTGTGGACCAGGCTGGCTTTGAACTCAGAGATCTGCCAGCCTCTGCTTCCCCAGTGATGGGATTAAAGTTGTGTGTGTGTCACCACCACCTGGCAACTCATTCTTTCTTAAACGTTTGTTTTATTGTGTGTGTGTGTGTGTGTGTGTGTGTGTGTGTGTGTGTGTGTATGTATGTTCACTATGTGCGTGCATGGGCTCACAGAGGTCAGAAGATGGTGTTAGACCCCCTGGAGCTGAGGTAACTGGTTGTTGTTTGCTGCCTGACGTGGGTGCTGAGAACTGAACCCAGGTCCTCTGGAAGAGCAATATAATCTGTGCATGCTCTTAACTGCTGAGCCATTTCTCCAGCTCCAAAATATAGCATTTTTAATAATTCTTTGAGAATTTCATACAATGTATTTTGATCATATTCACCCCTCCTCCCCAACTACTAAATCTACCCCAACTTTCTTCTCTCTAATTCTCTCTTTCTCTGTCTCTCTCTGTCTCTGTCTCTGTCTCTCTCTGTCTCTCTCTCTGTCTCTCTCTCTGTCTCTCTGTCTCTCTCTCTCTCTCTCTCTCTCTCTCTCTCTCTCTCTTGTAACCCATGAAGTCCAATTGTGCTGCCCATATGCTCCTGAGTATAGGGAGATTACTGGAGTCGGCTCAACCTACAAGAGGCCACACCCTTAACAAATCTACAAATCTTTCTCCCCTGGAAGCCGGGAACTGTCCATAGCTCTTCAGTTAGAGGCGGGGCTTGTGAACTTCCTCCTCCTTTGCTAGAATGTTGCCTGGCTCCATCACATGCCAGTCTTGTTCAGGCACCTACAGGTACTGGGAGCTCCTGAGCACATGGGTCCTGTCATTTCCACAGACCTGTTCTCTCAAGTGCTCCTCAACTCTGGTTCTTACAGTTTTCCTCCATCTTCTGTCGTGGTCCCTGAGCCTTGGGGCAGGGCGAGAGTAATAGTTTTAATTTGTTTATTTGGTTGTTTGTCATGATCTGAGTGTGGCCATCAGAGGGACAGCTTGCGGGAATCAGTTCTCTCCTCCTTCCACAACGCAGGTTTGAACTCACGTCATCGGGCTTAGCAGCAAGCACCTTTACTTGCTGAACCCTCTAGCCAGCCCTTTCCAGCCTTTTTGTTTGTTTGATTGTTTAGTGTTGCTTTTTAAAAAAGTAATGATTATTTTGTGAATTCTTTTTTGTGACTTTCTTTGTTTTGAGACAAGGACTCTCTACACAGCTCTGGCTGTCCTGGAACTCTCTATGTAGATCAGGCTGGTCTCGAACTCACAGAGATCTGCTTGCCTCTGCCTCTGGAGTGCTGGGGTTAAGGGCGTGCAGCACTATGCCCGGCTTATTTTTGCTTTTTTGAGACAGGATGCCAGCATGTAGCCCAGGCAGACCTGGAGCTTATTCTCCGGCCTCAGCTTCCTAGTTGTTGGAATTACAATCACTGACGACCAGGGCCTTCATCTCTTCGTTTGTTTGTCAGATAAAAGCCAAGGCAGTGATCACGTCAGAACTAGAACCTCAGAGCATGGAGAGGTCTAGGCGGCTCCTTTCACTGTGGTATAGAAGCCTCCACTCAACCCCAGGAGGGACAGCCTGCCTGCCTCTCAACCCCACTGTGAGCAGGTTCTCACTGGCAAGTGCCTCCCAGAAAAAAGAGCTAAGAATGCAAGAGTCTGAGATACATGAGACCCCGTCTCCAACCAACCTTCCCTTAAACAAAACAAAAACGACAAAACAATGAAGGTAAAGGGTGGTGGACTCATCTAGACTCCTTTCGAGTGTGGTCAGAGGAGACTCATCTTGCAGTTGCTTACCAGCAAAGGGTGGTCTCTGCTACACAGGAGGGAATCTTTTTCTCTTTCTGGTTTTTCAAGACAGGATTTCTCTGTGTAGCCCTGGCTGTCCTGGAACTCACTCTGTAGACCAGGCTGTTGTCGAACTCACAGATATCTGCCTGCCTCTGCCTCCCTAGTGCTGGAATTAAAGCATGCGCCACCACTGCCCAGCAGGAGGAATTCTCTCCTTATCCTGATCTCTAGACTTTTCCCCTTCTTTTCCCTTCCCTTCCCCCTCCATCCCTTCCTTCCTTAATTTCTCCTTTGCTTCCTTGAGACCCTGTACCCTACACCTCCATGACTCTCACACTTGTACCTAACACCAGCTCTCTACTTTGGGAACATTTCCCACAGAGTTAGCATAGAAGTTCATGACCTGAATCTGCCCCAGGAAGGAGAAGGAACCCATCTGCCGGCTCTCCTAAATTATCTTATCTCTCTTCCCACTGAGGATGGGTCCCCTTCTCCCAGCTTTATGATCCCAGAAAGGGAACCATTCAATCCATAAATCACTTGCCCTGCCTCTCCATTTTCTTCTTGCTGGTCCTGCCTGCCAATGCCACTGCCTCAACCCCCCAAATCCCCCACCCCCCCACAGGGATGTTGAGTACTTAACGACATGGGGTGTGCAGTCAGGCTGCCCACATTCCCAAGCTCTCCAAGCTTCATGATCTCAGACAAGCTGTTTATTTATTTATTTATTTTGACAGAGTTTAATGCCACTCAGTGTAGCCTCAAACTGTGTAATCCAGCAGGATCTCAAATTCCTGATCCTCCTGCCTCCACTTTCTAAGTGCTAGGATCGTAGACATATGCCACCATAGCAGCCTAACTTCTTTTTTTGTTTTGTTTTGTTTTTTTGAAACATGGTTTCTCTGTGTAGTTTTTTGGTGCCTGTCCTGGATCTCACTCTGTAGACCAGGCTGGCCTTGAACTCATGGAGATTTGCCTGGCTCTGTCTCCCAAATGCTGGGATTAAAGGCTCCACTGCCCGGAGCAACCTAACTTCTTTTTGCGGAATCAATGAATTTCACCAAGAGGAACTGGAGATGCCAACACCAGTTGCATTGAGTTGCTGAAAACATTTAGTTATATGAAGTACTCAGGTGAGCAGGAGGAAATCATGAAGCATAGTCCAGCTATTAGCAGTTGTGTGGGGGGTGGGGTGGGGAGAGATAAGAATTTTTAAAGATTTATTTATACAGTGTTCTGCCTGCATGTATGCCTGCATGCCAAAAGAAGGCATCAGATCTTATTGTGGATGGTTGTGAGCCACCATGTAGGTGCTGGGAATTGAACTCAGGATCTCTGGAAGAGTAGCCAGTGCTCTTAACCTCTGAGCCATCTCTCCAACCCCTTAAATTTTTAAATTACATTTATTTACTTACTTATTCTGTGTGTAGGTGAATCAGTTCTGTCCTCCCATCCTGTGAGTCCTGGGGACTGAATTCACATGCATTATTAGAGGCAAGTGGAGCCATCTCACAGGCATTTTTAAAAATTAAAATGGTTTGATTATTATTATGATAGCTGTATGTATACAAAGTGCATGTACAGATCAGAGGACAGTTTTGTGGAACTGATTTTGTGGAATCTTTCCCCTCTTTGTGTGGGCTCTCAGGGTGGGACTCAGGTTATCAGTCTTGCATAGCAAGCCTCTTTACCCACTGAATTCCCTCACCACCTCCTCCATTTTGCTTTTTGTTCATGTGGAAATTTTAAAAATTGTGTATCCCAGGCCAGGCGGTGGTGGCACATGCCTTTAATCCCAGCAATCGGGAGGCAGAGGCAGGCGGATCTCTGTGAGTTCAAGGCCAGCCTGGTCTCCAAAGCGAATTCCAGGAAAGGCGAAAAGCTACACAGAGAAACCCTGTCTCAAAAAAAAAAAACAAACCAAAACAAAAAATTGTGTATCCCATGCTGGCCTCAAACCCATGAGGTGGGCTGAAGTCCCACCAAGGACCCGAGACCTCCTTACTGATTAACCCAGCATTTCCTCCCGAGTCGGAAGCCTAGCCTCTTACTCTTGACTCACCTTCCCCTTAGGTTCTGACTAAGAGCTACTGACTCTGACTTGCAAAGAGGGACCAGGAGTCCTGAACATTCGCTCAACAGAGCAGGAGGCCTGACAGCGTCCCTATTCGGGGATGGACACACAGAGAGCTCAGAAAAATCTCAGGTTCGGTCCAGCTTCACATGCCGGAAGGAGAAAGAACTAGGAAGAGGAACAGTGATATATGGGAGGCAGACAGATGTAAAGACACCTGACCAGCAACCCCACGAAAGTCAAGTAACTGTGACCAGTGGAGTCAGGCCAACTTGTGTTCAGGTATTGGACCTGGCCCTGGGGAGCTGAGTTGACCTTGGGGAAATGGTGCCACCCCCTGTGAGCTTTCATTTCCTAGTGAGGATTATGATCACTTCCACATCATAAACTTCCTGGGAGCAATCAATACACTAATTGCCAAGGTCACTGCCTGGGACATGGGAGGGCCATAGACAGGGAGCAGGTTACACAGAGAGGCACAGGCAGGCCCTTATACTAGAGCATCCTGGGGCAGAGCTCAATGGTAGAGCATTTGCCTACGTGCACAGGGTTGTCAGTGAGATATCTCCTGTTATCCTGACTCCCATAGGAGGGTTCGAACCTTGTTAACTTCCCAAGTTGGACAGTTGCCTGGGGTGTAGCCCTGTGGTAGATCACTTTCTTGACAGGCCTGAAGCCTTGGGCTCAGTCCCTAGCATTGGAGAGGGAAGAAAAAAACAAAACAAACAACAACAACCATCTTGCAACCCTACCTTTGTTTCAGAGCTTATGTGACCCCCTGTGACGACCTTGTTGTGCCCACCTTGCAACCATGCCTGTGTTTCAAGAGGTCATTAGGACTAACTTGTTTGTCACCATCCCGTAACCCAGCCTATTTTGTCCATCCACCACCCCCCACCCCTCATCCCCGCATTTGGAAACCCCCTACCCCTGAGCTATAAAAGCTTTGTCTTCCTCACGTTCAAGGCTGACCTCTTGAACCCCACCTTAGGGGAAAGCAGCCCGTGTACATTAAAAAAAAGTTAAAAAAACGAATCAGTTCTGCTTATACTTTGATCTTGAATCTCCAACTTTTTTTTTAGTTTGTTTTGTTTTCAAGACAGGGTTTCTCTGTGTAGCCCTGGCTGTCCTTAGATGTCTCGGTGTCTTCAGCTGCATCTTGCCCTCAGACTCTGGTTTGGCCATAATGGATCTTGTTGGGATTACTGCTACATTGTATTGCCCTCCCAGCCTCTGGTTTCACTTCCGTTTCATTCTGCCTGCCTCTGCTATCAGACATCTCACCCAACCTGCATCAGACTCGAAAAGATCTTTTTTGGTGTTATGTTTTGGTTTGTTTTTGTTTTTTTAGACAAGGTTTCTCTGTGTAGTAGCTTTGGCTATCCTGGAACTTGCTCTGTAAACCAGAGACTGGCCTCGAACTAACAGAGATCCTCCTGTCTCTACCTCCAGGGTACCTATCATGAGTGCTGGGATTAAGGCATGCACCACTGCTCCACCGGGCCACAAGGACCTTGTTAAAGCTTGCGCTTCACGGCCACAGAAAAAGGGGGGTGCCAAATAACCTAAGACCAGGAGAGATACCAGTGATTTAAACAAGAGGTGTCACACTCGGGATTTCCCCTGGGGAGCAGGTAGTGGTGAGGCCGGAAAGGACAAAACTTCAGGTCAAAAGGGCCTGAAGCCTAGTTAGAGCTTCAAAAGACATATCCAGAGTCTGGGCTGGAGGCTGAGGCTCCAGGATCAAGAGTTCAAGGTCGTCCCAGTTAGAGTCAACTGCCAATTTGACTATCTTTTCTATGTAATTTTGGAGCCTGGCCTGGAACTCGATCGTTAGACCAGGCTGGCCTCGAACTCACAGAGATCTGCCTGGCTCTGGCTCCTGAGTGCTGGGATTAAAGGCGTGCACCACAGTTGCCCAGCGTGAGGAATTATCTTGACTGATGATTGGTATGGGATGGCTAAGCCCACTGTGTGTGGTGCCATCCCTGGGCAGGTAGACTGGGCTATACAAGAAAGCTAGCAGAGCTGGTTCCAGGACAGCCAAGGCTACTACACAAAGAAACCCTGTCTCAAAAAGCCAAAAAAAAAAAAAAAAAAAAAAGAAAGAAAGGAAGGAAGGAAGGAAGGAAGGAAGGAAGGAAGAAACTAGTAGAGAGGTCTGGAGAGATGATTCA